TCCCATGGCCCCCTGGAGCTCCTCCCCTTCACTGCAGGGCCCCACCTCCACAAACCATTGCCCCACCCACAAAATAACAGGCCCCTCCCACACCCCCTGCAGCCCCTGTTGCACCACAGGCTCTGCCCCACCCACCACAGCCCAGGCCCTCCCATGCACCCTGGAGCTGCACCCCTACACCGTAGGCCTCCACCCAAAGTGTCATGGTCCTTCCCCAAAAGATCATGCCCTGACCCAACCCTCCAAGCCATGACCCAGGCCCCTCCCACTAGACAGCCCCCACCATTCAGGCCCCTCCCACACCCCCAAAGTCCCACCCTAAAACCCCTGCCCACCACAGCTCTACCCCATCTCACACCTCCTGGAGCCCCTCCCCTGCACTGAACCCTCATGGCCCTGCCCCCACACCTGCCAAACTACATCCCAAGCCCCTCCCACACTCCCTAGAGCCCTGCCCCCACAGCTCAGGCCCTGCCCCCAACCCTCACCCCTGGCCCTGGTTGGTACCTGACGGGTAGGGGAAGACCTGCTCTGGCCGGAGTTGTCCCATGAACATCCCAGCTGCAAAAGACTTGGAGTCCTGGGGTGGGGGGGCAACAAGAAGGTATGGAGGGCAGTGATTACAGGGATGACTCCCCCCCACCACAAACCACACCTCCTCTTGCCAAAGCCCCACCCCACCAAACCCAGGGGCAATGTGCTGTCTGGATGCCAGGGTTCTACCCCCACCATCTTGGTGCAGAAGAAGGGAGGGAGACATCATACCTCAGTGGTCTTGACCTTTCGCTTGGTGGTAGCATCGGCCTCCGGGGTAGTCTTGCGGCCACTTTTCTCCAATGTGGCCTGGAAGGGGGTGGGGGCTGTCACCCCTGGGACCCGCAAACTGCACCCCCACAGCGCTGCCAGTGCCCCTCACTCCTGAGCCAAAGCCCTCTGCCTCCCCAGCCCTGCCAGTGCCCTTCACTCCTGACCTGCAGTCCCCTGTCCACCTTCCCTGGCCATGCCAACCCACAGCCTGCCCCCATAGTGCCCCTCACCCCTGACTGGCAGCCGCCTGAGCCCTGCTGGTACCCCTCACTCCCAACCCACAGCCCCTCACTGAAGGGTATCTAGAATTGGGAAAGGCTGAAAAAGTGGGGGCTGGGGGCTGACCTGGACAGTCCTGGTATGGGGAGCATGGGGATGACAAGGGCAGACTGAGGGGCTGCTGGCAGGGGCACAGATAGGGCCTATGGGGGCAGGGACAGCAAGTTGAAGAAGACTCCCTAAGAGCAAGGGCTGCAGACTGGGAGTGAGAGACACTGGCAGGGCTGGGGGGGGCGGGGGGTGTGCAGGAGACTGAGGATTGGGAGTGAGGAGCACTGGCAGGGCTGGGGGCCTCCAGATTAGGAGTGAGGGGCACTCTCACCCCCCCCATGACACGCCCACTTCTATTTTTAGCTCCCTCCCATTTTTATTCCTGTCCCAATGACCTTTCCCCCAGTTCCCGGTGTCCCGTGACACCCACAGTACCCAGGACCTTGCCCTTCCACCTGCCCTGGCACCCAGAAGACAGAGCCTGGGATGGGAAGGCGCCCAGCTCTGGGGCACGGCAGGGCCGGGTAGGACAAGGCTCCCCCCCCCCACCCTGCCGAGAGGCAGCCGGCTCTAGGGGGCCCCGGCCCAGCAGAACGGGGGCACCAACTCTGGGGTGGGGGCTGCCAGGCACTACGGGGACTCACCTGGGCCGTCTGGGTGCTGTACAGCCGGGGCCCACAGCACTGGGGGCTGAGGGCCACGGGGGTCCATCTAGACCTGGGGGGACGAGAGGGTCTGTGTTGGGGGCGGGGGAAGAGCTGGAAATACCCCCCCTGCTCCCACCATGAGTCCCTTCTTGACCTCTGACCCCCACCCCGTCCAGGGGTCCCCATGTAACCTCTGACACCCCCATACACCTCCCTCCCCCCAGGGGTCCCCACTTGACCTCTGACCCCCTCCATCTTCCCCCAAGCGATTCCTGGGCCCTCACAGGGGTCCTTTTTGACCCCTTCCTCCCTCACCCCAGCCGCAGGAAGCGGAGGCAGAGCCCCGGCCCGGCCCGTGCTCCCTGCATGGCGGCTGGGTCCGGCTGTTTGGCCCTCCTCTCCCCACCGAGCCGCAAAGCACGATGGGATACGTAGTTCCGGTGCTGCCTCGCGAGTGACATCAGGCTCGCCTTCCTCTCCCTCCCACCCCGCATGGCATGAAAAGTTAGTCTCAGCCAATGAAGTCTCTGAAGGGGTGGGCTGCTCTTGCGCGTAGGCTGCCTACAACGAATATGGGTACCGACTTGCCATTGCTATTAACGGAAGAGGTTGGCGCTTGCCCTCTCCCAATATGGCCGCCACCCGCCCTTTGCCCTTACTGAAGGGGAAGCAGGCCCTTGCCCTCTTCCAAAATGACTGCATCTTCCCGTTGAGCCTGAGGGTGATACAGGCCGTTGCCCTTTTCTAAAATAGCCGCCGAGAACCACCCCCGTATAGCGGGGCTTTGCCCTTTCTCAAAATGGCGGTGCCTACTTGCTTTCAATGACCTTGACCCTCTATTAAAACGGCCGCCGACCTCCCAATGAGGCTGCTACCGGCCCCGCTTTGCTTTCGAGCTGGCCATCTCCCCTACCCGCACCTAAAATGCCAGCCCCGCCCCTTTGCTTTCAATAGCACCTTCTTCCGCCCTTACACAAAATGGCTGCCACTTGCCAGGGTTGCCAATGGGCTTGAAGCCAAGCTGCCCCCATTCAAAATGGCAGCGTACATAGGCCTAAAGCCAGCCGCTTCACTGTTACCATGGTTACCGAGCCCATTTCCTCCTCCCACCCCCAGCTCCTGGCCCCTCACGGCCTAACCAGCCCACTTCCCACCACAATAAATGGCAGCAACCCCGCCTTTTTTTTTTTGAGGGAAGACCAGAAAGACCGCCCCCTTTTTTTTGAGGAAAGACCAAAAAGCCCCCCCCCCCCCCCCATAACGCCCCCCTACTCCCAATATCCAGGCCCGGATCCCCAGTGTGTTTAACCTGATTTTATTTAAGGCTAATTTTATACACAAACGAGCTAAAAAATAAATACATGTCCCCAAAAAGGGGTCTGTTACAGAGACCCCCCACCCACATTTTTGATGGTACAGTGGGAGGGGGGGCTGGAGTACCTATATGGCGCCTCCCCTCCAGCACTATCATATGGCCTAGAGGGGTATGTGGAGGATTTAGACCCCTCATATTGAAATGGGGAGGGGTCACATATCCCCAAAATAGGCCTACACAAAAAGGCAGGTCACTGGTGTGAAAGGAGACAGCACCCCCTAGTGGAAGGGGCTGTAAGCACCAATATGGGGGGGCAGCAGGGTTCCAATATTGCTCCCCTATGTACAATCAGCGCCCCCCCCAAGAGAGGGGGGCAGGGGAATGACCAAAGAGACCTCTCCCTCAATTAGTCTGTTTCATACAGAAAATGTATTGTTTGCTTAAAAATAATAAAGTCCCCCCCACATAAAAACAGCTTGTGACTTCATCAGCGGGGGAGTGGGGGGGTCTTGTTACCTATAAGGGAAAGGGTCAGGAGCAATGAGGGGGTTGCAGGGGGTTCCTAAATTGGGACTAAAAAGGAAGTGAATGGAGAAAAAAAATTCCCCCCCCCCCGCAAAAAAAAAAATTATGGGTGGGACACCCCAAAATGCTGGCTGGCTGGGAGGGCTCCCCACCCCAGAAGGCTACCTGGCTCCAAAGGCCACATGGGGAAACTGAGGCAGGAGCAAGTCACATGACTGGAAGGGGGGAGTGGTCAGGTGACCCCCCCCATGGTGGGGGGAGACACCTGTGCCAATAGTGACAAGGGTTGTTTATGCAACAACCCTCTCCATGGAACCATGTGATGGGGGGAAGCTGGGGAGTCACATGACCCAAGAGCATGGGTCAGTCATGTGATTGCAGGTTAGTGTCACATACTCCCTGTGCTCCAAGGCTATGATGTCATAGTGTCACCGCGGCTGGGGGGAGAAGACCATATGCCATCCAGGCTGGGTCACATGACCTGGCAAGAGGGGTCATGTGACCCCCCAAATAAAAGGCAGTAAAGGTGTGGGGATAAGGCGGTGTCACACAACGCTCGCAGTGATCGGAGGTCACGTGACATCAAGGCTGTGTCAGGTGACACGGGAAGGCTCTGGAAGTGGGTGGCCATGTGACCATGAGGTCACATGACATCAAGGCTAAAGTCCAAAGGCCATGGGAGGGGCCAAGTGCCCACAGGGGCTCTCCTGGCTGGAGATCTTGCCTAACATCATGGCAGTTATGACATCACAGGGCTCCGGGGCCACAGTTCCTCTGACATCACAGCAGATGATCCGGTGACATCATAAGCCCACACACACAAGGTTGACACTGGAAAGTTGCATGGCTGGTCACATGACTAGCCAGGAGACATTGCACAGTGGCAGTCGCGCAGCCGTGGCAGGTCATGTGACCCCATGCCTAATCATGTGACCCCCCACAATGGGGCAGCCCTCAAGTGTATGGCAGTAGCCAGTCACATGACCTGTAGCCCATCACATGACCTGCCCCGGTGGCCCATCACATGGCTCTGTGATGACCTGCAGGAATAATTTGGCAGGTCACATGATGCCCATGGCTGATCATGCGGCTCCATGGTTGGCCACATTACCCTGTGGCAGGTCAAGTAACCCCATGGGTATTCACATTGCCTGTGGGGTCATGTGACCTGCCCCAAGGTTGTCACATGACCCTGTGGGCAAGCACACAGCTCTTTGGTTGACCACCTAACCCTGTGGAAGGTCACATGACCTTACAGGCAATCACACACTTCTGTGGCTGGCCACATGGTTCTGCGGCTGGCCACATGGTTCTGCAGCTGGCCATGTGATCCACATGGCCTGTCCCACGGCTCTGCAGTAACCCAGCAGCAGGTTACTGACCTCCATGGGTAATCACCCAGCTCTACAGGTGGCTCTGTGACCCCCCACAGCAGGTCACATTACATCCACAAAGAACTCACTGGGGTTGCCCATGGCCATGTGGAAGGACTGGCGGCTGGCTGTCAGCTCAGGGGGCACAGCCCCCAGGTCCCGCACAGGGGGGGCACCAGGGGGCTTTGTGGTGCCCAGAGGGGGGCCGCTGGGGGGCGGGACAGCCGGGG